CCTCCTTGCTGACCTCAGCCCTACTGGGCTGCGGTCAGGGTCATCCCCCTTATGGGATGGAATGCGCTCTGTTCAGCTCAGCCCCAGAACCAGGGTTCCAAAGGCATCTTGCTTATCAAGAAGACAAACCCCACTGTTCTAATGGCGAGAGACTCTGGTGTGTCCTGGAAGCAGACCATGGGCAGGGCCTCAACATCCCTCTGGTCTTTCTATCACCAGCATCTGGCATGTTGGAGCTACTTTAATGAACACCTGCTGAAGGACTGACTGATTGATCTCATCAGGAAAGCAGCCAGATCGGTAGAAAGCCAATGGACGAGTCCCTTTCTGGGCCCAGGAGGGGCATCAGGGGTGCTGGAGTCAGCTCCAGGGGGCTCCAAGAGAGCTGGTTGTTAAATGTTCAGTGGGAGCATTTACAACCTTAGAAATCAGCAAATAGCAAATGTCACAACTCAGGGCTTGATTTACCGTTTTGCTCATTCTATAGGCTCAAGAACACAATGGAGAGAACTATTGATGATGCAGATTAAATTGAAAAGTGTGGGGAAATAGTTTTTTGGGCAAAGAACCAGTTATTAAATACTCCCCAGCAGCCCCGACTGGGGAAGCCTTCCTACAAGGCTCGGGTCAGGTCTTTCTCTGTTTGTTGGAGCAGGAATCATAGCAATGATAAGGAAGATTTCAGAAATGGGAAGGGACTTTCAGCAGGTACAGAGGGAGGGATCGTTCATTCCTTGGAATGAAGGCCTAGTGAAGCCAGAGGCAGGAGAGAGAGAGCACACATCGGCTGCCTGGAACAAGCAGGGAGTGAAATAGTAAGCCCAGTGGCCTGGCAGAGGGGCCACCACTCGGGCTTTGGGAGGCTAGTTTGGAAGGGAGTTGGAGGTGGGGAGGGGAAGTGGAGAAGGGGAGATTCACAGGGGTCTCTAGTGTTTTGAGGGAAGGCCCTGGGCAGCTCCAGGACAGAGACACAGCAAACACCAGCCAGCATGGGGAAGCTGGAGGGGTTTGCAGGGGCGGATTTTCTATTTCATCTAAGATGACTCCTCCTGACCTGACCCAGAATCCTCTTGTTTGAAGGGCATACCAGTCAATGAAGGCTCGGGCCTTGGAGCAGGACCTCCAGGTATCTGGCACTAGGCCCGATGCCTGTGAGTCCCCGGCTGTCCAGAGGCACTGCTCCTCCGCCTCCCACTTCCCAGTGCTTGATCACATAGCCACAAGAATGCAGCCTGGGGAGGGGCTCCCTACTCCCTCCCCGTGGGACCGTGTCCTCTTTCCCCACACAGAAAGTGGCCCAGGGCGTGGACAGAGCGGCACCTGACCAAGGCGCACGTGGTTTTAAAGGTGTGGAGGTTTCCACTCCTTTGACACTCAGTGTAGACAGAGCAGGAAGCGGCCGTGTTTCTCAGCATCTGGGCTGGAGGCCAGATTTGCTGGTGTTTGTCCTTTGAAGACGCTTCAGGGTGCCACAGACGTTGGGGTTTCCAGGATCACATCCCAGCTCCAGGGCACACAGAAGGTGCTCCGTAAATGAATGCTTGCTGACTCTCTGTGTTAATGAAGGGGTCACCAGAGGCTTCCATTCCAAGGCCATCCCAGTGAACTCCAAATTCAGGAGCCTGAGTCCAGGAAACCTTCCGGTGCAGGCCTTGACTCCACAGTCACTGGCTGGGGAAGGGGCTGTCTGCCGTCTCAGGGCTGAGGGCTCAAGGGCCCATGCTGGCCCTGCTGGAGGCTCTGTGTTCCTCCAGCGCCTGAGCCCTGCAACGATGACGACGGTCACCCCCACCTCACAGTCCCAAGCCTCTCCCTCTCCCATGCCTCCCTATTCCTGCTCCTCCCATGGGACACTCCTTCCTCTCCAGCGAAGGCAAATATGTCTTTTAAAGGGAGGAAAGGGGGCTCTGTCCCAGGCTCTCCTCTCCTCGTCCTCCTGCCCCTGCTGAGACCAGGCCCAGACTTCTAGACCATCCTTCACTTGACAGGGGCAGGAATCAAAGCTCTAGAGCCAGTTAGGGACGCTGGAGAGAAGAGACCAGGCAGCAACGACCAGGCCGCAATGATCAGGAGATGTTGGCCAGGGAGCTCGCGGCCCCAGGTCACCCAGGGAGGCCCGGAGAGAAGGGACCAGGCAGCAACGACCAGGCAGCAATGACCAGGAGATGCTGGCCAGGGAGCTCGCGGCCCATGGAGGCCCAGAGAGAAAAGACCAGGCAGCAATGACCCGGTGTGATCAGGAGATGTTGGCCAGGAAGCTCGCAGCCCCAGGTCACCCAGGGAGGCCTGGCAGAGCCAAAGCAGGACATTGGCTCGTGACCCAGTGTCCTATTCCAGTCACAGGCCTGGGGCCAAGGAAAGCAACAATTACTGGTTGGGCAGCAGATGCTTTGCCCCTGGCCCCTCCCCTAATCACATCATGAATGTGATTAGGCTCCCCAAAGGAGCGCCCTCAAATCCTGAGTTTCTCTAGAAAGACGGAGAAATAATCATGTCCTTTCCTAACAGCTTGGAAAAGCCCCGGGGAAAGGGGAGTGGGATAGTACAGGACCCCTCTGGTCAGGTGAATAGATCAAGGCAGTAGGAGGGGAACAAAGAAGCAGAAAGGGGACCGAGAGGACATTCGGGCTGCAGCAGAACAATGTGTCCTGGACAGTGTGGCCATCTAGTGGACACATGCTGCTTCTGCCCCTGAAGGGGACAGACCAAGTCCACCCAGTGGAAGGCACCCTCAACCTGCTCGATGTTCGTTTTGGATTCTGTGGAAGGAAGAATTGCATTAATTCCTGGAGAGAGGAGTGGGTCTAGGAGAAGACCTGAGTTCAAATCCCACCTCAGAGGATTACTAGCTGCATGACCTTGGATTAGTCTGCTGGCCTCAGTTCCCTCATCTGCAAAATGGGGATAATAACTGCACCTATCTCGAACAGTTGTTGAAAGGATCAAATGAGGTATTTGTAATGCTCTGAGCCCAGTGTGTGGCACCTAATAAGTGCTACAGAAATATTAGCTATCCAATAGCATTTCTGGGGCTGTAGCCTAGAGAGATCGTATAAATGGGGAAAGGACCCACATGTCCAAAAATATTCATAGCAGCTCTGTCTGTGGTGGCCAAGAACTGGAAATTGAGGGGATGCCCATCCACTGGGGGATGGCTGAGCAAGTTGTGGCATATGAATGTAGTGGAATACAATTGTTCCATAAGAAATGATGACCAGGCGGACTTCAGAAAAACCTGGGAAGGCTTGTACGGACTGATGCTGAGTGGAGTGAGCAGCACCAGAACGTTGTACACAGCAACAGCCACGTTGTGCAATGACCACCTATGATAGACTTAGCTCTTCTCCAAGACAATTCCCAAAAACTCACGATGAAAATGCTATCCACATCCAGGGTCTGAATGCAGATTGATGCATACTATACGTTCCCCCCCCCCTTTTTTTAAGTTTTGTTTTGTTTCTTCTTTCTTGTGGTTTTTCCCTTGGGTTGTAATTCTCTTTACAACACGCCTAATGCGGAAATGTTTAATATGATTGTACAGGTATGCCCTGTATCAGATTGCACGCCATCTTGGGGAGGGAGAGGGGAAGGAGGGAGAAAATTTAGAGCTCAAAATCTTATGCTGAAAACTAAAAACAAATAAATAAAATTAAAACCAAAAAGAAACGTTAGCTATCATCATTATTGTTCAGGATTCTGTAAATGTCACCTGAAATCTTCTTGGGGCAGGGACTCAGCTCAGAGAACTAGGCCTTGGATGTGGATTGATGGTAAATGAAGTAGAACAATCAGAGGACAGCGCTATTATCCATCACATGTTGGGTTTTTTATAAATGAGAGAATCCCATCAGCGGTAGTAAGACGCTCTGCTCCTGGCCGTAAAAGTGGCCACACTGAGACATCTCAGAGTCCCTTAGGAGAGCTGGGCCAGGGCAGCGCAAACCAGATTAGAGTGCACTGGAGAGACACTTAAGGAAGTGAAATGCACCAGAGCAGGTCCTGGGGGCCCCTGCACCACATGAGTGAGAGTGCACAGGCTGCTCCCTTGCATACCCCTGGGTGCGCGGGGAGGGGCCGCCACCCTGGCCACAGGGCCCTGCCCTCTGCCCAGTTTGCCGAATTCTGAGCCCCCGGAGGAGGCAATGGCAAATCACTCCAGGATCTTTGCCAGGAAAACCTCAAACGGGCTCACAAAAGCGTCAGACGCGACTTAAACGACCGTACAACAGCGTCACGGGCAGAGGCTTCGTTGGAAACCATCGGCCGGCCTAAGCGGCTACACCTGTACGATGGGGACGGTCGCTACCCGTCCTTGCAGTGTTTAACCCCTTCTGTGCCTCAGTTTACTGCCTGTGAAATGGGCGGGAGAATGCGCGGAAAAAAGCCCCGGAGGCAGGGGCTGCCCAAGTCCGGGAGTCTCGGTCCTCCCTTCACTCCCAGTTTACCAGCAGGGGAGGCAAGCCCGTAGTCACGCGGCGAGCAGGGTCCGGCTCCGCCCCCACTTCCGGCTGCTGCTCCGTGATTGGCTAGTTATCTAGGGGACTGATGGCTCCGTGTTCCTCCTTGACATCCGGTTCCGCCCCAAAGTTCCGGGCAGCCAGATCACGTGAGTCCACGCTGACGCACGCACGCACGGCGCGCACGCCTTCCCGCCCTTCCGCTCAACGGCCCCTCCGGCGCCGGCTCCAGGGGAGGAGGGAGGCCTCGTGGCGCGCGGGGCGGCCGTTGGCGACCGTTGGCGCGCCTGCGCAGCGTCGTGCGGCGGGGCGCGGCGCCTGCGCAGCGTCGTGCGGCGGGGCGCGGCGCCTGCGCAGTGATCTCGGGAGGCGGCGCCTGCGCGCCAGAAAAGCCGACGCCGCGGCTGTGGGAGGCGCACGTTTCCGGGTCCCGCTCCGGTCGCTCGCGCTCGGTGACCCCCGCCCCCACCCCCCGCCTCGGGGGCGCGCACGCGATGCGGCCACGCGCACTTAGGGTCGCGGCCTTCTCGGGCTGAGGCGGAGGCGGAGGCGGAGGCGCCCGGGGCGATGCTGCGCAGCCAGGCCCGGGGAGCGACGAGGAGCCGCCCGGAGGGTGAGGGCGAGGCGGAGGCGGAGGGGGCGAGAGGCCCTGGGTCAGTCTGGTGCCCCCTGCTGCCGAGAGGGCCGAGAGCGTGGTGTCTGAGTGGACCTCTGGGGCGGGAGGGGGAGGGGAAGGGGAAGGTGGGAGGATGGGGTCAGAGGGTTCCCAGGTGGCGGAGAGAGCGGGGTCTGAGTGGACCTCTGGGGCGGGAGGGGGGATGGGGATGGGGTCGGAATGTTCCCAGGTGACGGAGACTG